AAACTACAAAAATATCATGGCAAAACACACTAATTGTACAAAACAGTGTGAGAAAAAAAAAATCATTCATGAAGTGGTACCAATAACCTTGCCAAGGGACTGTGTACAAAAAATATATATCGTGACCCAGCGTGCTCTAGTTTGAAAAAAAGGGGAAATCGGTTGAATCTAAAAATCGGAGGTCCAAAGATGTAGTTTGTGTCGAGACTCGTTGCCTAACTTATGATCAAAGGTCAAAATAAATGGTAATAATAATGAGAGAAAGTCCACGTCATCCTTTGACCTTGTCTGGTAAGGGAAGATAAGTCTAATAAACAATTGTCAGAAAAATTTTTTTTGTAAGAAATCGGAAAATTCCCTTAAAGATAAACATCTTAAAACAAACCCATCAAAATGATAGTCAAAATCAATGATAAATCCCGGAATATGAATATAAAAGTAAACCCTTAACTTCAATTTCCTGAACTTATTTTATTATCAATTTCCTTAATATCCTTAAACTGAAGAATAGATTAAACTGAAGAACCCAACGGCCGAGTCCCGGTGTCGTGTAAAATGTAAAAGACAAAGGACAGTAAAAGTACCTTGACTCTCTCCACGCGAGATCAGGATGCAGAAGGCCAGAGTCGAGAGAAGAGTTTCTGCTGTCGTCACCATCAACATCATCTGGTGAAGTGAGAGAATTAGCGGCTCTCCATTTGGTGTCTATTGAGAATGGCGGCGCTCTATTGCATAAGGGGGGTGGGGGCGGCGGGGGCGGCATGCTCAGGGCTGGGGGGTGGGAAGAACAGGAGGCGTGTGATGAATCAGGAATCTTTTTTCTTTTTTTTCTTTTTCTTTTTTTTTTAGATTTTGTAGTTAGTTGGGGTAGGTGGGGATGTGGGGGGGGGAGATGGGAATGCACGATCACAGTCTCTCTCCCCAACAAGCCCCCTCCCCATCCCCTTCCTACCCCCACCCCACCCGTAGACGCCCGCAGGGATCGTCAGCTTTAATACAATATTTAATACAATATTGAACCGAATTACGCCTCTGTGCTCCCATGAACATTGTCTTTCCTTCAGCTCTTTGTCAAGGTCTCCTCGCCAAGATGAACTTACACACAAGAAAAGACCAAAACAAAAGAACAAACAATAGCTGACAATGTTCAGACGTCAGGTAAAAACTAGGAAGTCCGAGAGAGTAGATTGAAGACACATTAAAAGTTGTCCGAAGTAATTACACACTTAAACTGCTGCTAAAAAGTTGTTGAAAACTGCCCATGTAGATAAGATATGAGACACACTTAAGAGTACATCAAAGAGGAGGCAAAGACCGGACTCCACTGACCTGACCCCGACCTGACGGAGGAAGGTCGTCTAACCGGAGGAGCTGTGAAGTCGTAGGACACGATGGATCCGCGGGGCGTGGCGTTGGCCGAGCGGGACCGGCGCTCCTGCAGGCGGTACCAGGTCGGCCGCTCGTCCAGGTACGCGTGGCGGAGGTCGATCAGGGTCTCGCCTGCGAAGAGGGGAGGGAGGAAGCGAGGAGGAAGGAGGGTGAATGACGGTCATCAGAACATCTCCCGAATTGGCTTCAGAGGCATGGATAAGAAGGAATAATTTTGAATTCAAAGCGAACTAAATACGTCTTTCAAAGGTATGAATAGGAATGAATGATTTTGACGTCAAAGCGAACTACTTAAATTTCAAAGGTATGAATAGGAATGAATAATTTTGAATTCAAAGCGAACTAAATACATCTTTCAAAGGTATGAATAAGAATGAATAATTTTGAATTAAAAGCGAACTAAATACGTAACTTTCAAAGGTATGAATAAGAATGAGTAATTTTGACGTCAAAGCGAACTAAATACGTAACTTTCAAAGGTATGAATAAAGGTGCCGTCATACTAGCACTTAATCCGTCATTTTTGACAATTTTATTTAACTCTTGATTTGACTATGCTTGGTTAAAAAAAAGTTGACGTTAAGGTTTTCAGACAGAAACGATCATTATCATCTGACTGGAAAATCGACAATTCGCTTAAAAATTGTCAAAACTTCACAAAATTGTCCAAAAATTGACGGAAAAAAGTACTAGTGTGACAGAACCTTAAGAATTAATAATAATGAATTCACAGCGAACTAAACACGGTACTCCTGCATCCTGAAAACATCCCTTCTCCCGCGTGCCTTCTCCCACAGCCGAACTACGATACCCTCGCCATAACGACCCCAGGGATGTGTCTCCTCCCCATCGATCTCCTATCCCTCAGCGGCCGCCAGCATCCGAACCTACGGCAATGCCTGTTGTCGAAGCGGATCTGATAAAATCCATTACTTTTCAATCCTTTTTTTTTTCTTCCATGTGGAGCAAGGACGTTCCCTTTAACCCATCGCTTTGTCAGGGCCTCGATGCAACGCATTTCTTTTCTTTTTTTCGTCTTCTCTTCTCCTTTTTCTTTTTCTTTTTTTTTGTCTTCTCTTCTTTTTCTTTTCTTTTTTTCATCTTCTCCTTC